CAGGCCTGGGCCACTCGTCAAGGGCTGAGTGAGTGAATGAATGCAGGGGCCAGAACTTCACCAGTGATGTGCTGGTATGTTACAGCTGAGAAAACTGAAGCCCAAAAAAATCAAGGACCAACTTCGAGGTCAACATCAAGACCTTTGCAGAGACAAATCTGGAGGCTCAAGGATGCTGCCACTCTGCTAGGCCACTTCACTGGGGGGCAATAGCCTTGGGGGTGGAGGTCTTCACCTGCCTTTGAAGAAGGCCACATAGAAGGGAGGGGGGTAGAAATAGACAAACTGGTGAAGAAATAGACAAAGATGAAGACTTTGAAGGTGAAGGCATCTTTATGGAGGGTCTGGGTTCTGTGCTTCTCCGGGCAAGGGGCAGAGCTGGCCAGAGTTCTCCTGGGCAGAAGGGGACAGGCCAGCCCATCTGTGAACCCATGTGCTTTGTTCCTAACCCACCTTCCCCCATTGCCAGCCATGCTCCCCTGGCCCCCCTCACTTGCGATGGCTGAGCAGACTGGGGACACCAAGACAGGGGCTGCAGGCTCTGAGGTACAGGGAGACAGCTCCTGAAGGCTCTCAGTTCCCAGCTGACTCCAGGACACCCCTGCTCTCCCCTGCCCTCACTCACCCCACCTGGTGAGCTGCTCAGCCAGTGAGGTACAGGCCTGGCCCAAGAGAAGGATGAGCGCCAGGCTGAGCACACCGCTGCTGCTCGTGGTAGTGCTGCTAGCCTAGGCCAAGGGACGGCCATCACCTGGAGCCCAGCCGTGCAGAGGAGTGGAAGGCACCTGAGGATACCCACACTGCACCTGGAGCCTAGGCCAGTGCTCCCACCCTCCATTGCCCCAAACAACACTCACCTGGGTCATGAGCACCGGCGTCACCTGTGTGAAACATTACAATGCTGATGATGCTGTGATAAATGATGAAAGATGCCAGGGAAGTCACCACTCCACAGAGCTGGGGCCCAGCAGGGAGGGTTGTCAGAGCTGGAGTGCAGGCCACCAAGGTCCCAGCCCACTCTGGAGGGGCCGGTCCTTCCAGAGCAAGGACCCAAAGCCCCCTTACCGTGGTGGTGATGGCTGCAGGGCCAGTGAGTAGGTGGGGAGGGCGGGTGTGGGATGGGAAGCAGGGCTCCTTCAAGCCTGTCACTAGATTCTGGGCCATCTGTGGGGTGAACACTCCTGTCAGGGGAAGCAATGGATGTGCATCCTGGGGCCCAAAAAGTCGGGTGTCACAGTCTGGGGAAGGGGGAAGCCCCTGCCTTTTCCTGTCTGCACAGGGAGCTCTGGCAGTGCAGGAGTGAGGTCTGCTTCACGTTTGTTTCTGCAGGCCCTTTCCCCCCCAGGTCCTGCCTAAGAGCTTGCAGATGGATGGATGGGTAGATGGATGGAAGGGTAACAGAAGCAAACTACAAAGGGGTGCACAGGTGGGAGAGGGCTGGACAGACTGATGGATGGGTGGGCAGTAGGTGGACAGATTGGGTAAATCAGACAGGCAAACAATTGGCAAATTTCTGTAAGTCGGGGCACAAGTGGGTGGGCAGAAGGGCAGATGGGTGGATGGATGGGCAGGAGGTGGAGAGATGAAAGTGTGGTTGGATGGAGGATGGACATGGATTGGTGGCTGGAGGAGTAGATAATTAGTTTATTCGATAACTATGTACTGACCACATACTACTCTGTAGTAGATACTGCATATACCATGGTGGACAAACTGGACAAGGCCCAACCCTAATGGATTTTACAGTCTAGTTGTTGAGACAGACATTAAACAAATGGACACAAAGATGTAATTGTGAATAAGTCCTATGAAGGACAACTGATGCTAAGGAAGGAGTGGAGGGGCAGCATTCCACGGTGGGGGTGGGTGTGGGGGAACAGTGTGGGCAAAGGCAGGGCTGTTCTTTAGGGCACATGAGTTGTATACTGAATTACTCTAGGGGGCACCATCCACAGTGACTTTGTTAACTCAGTGTCTCCTTTCTGCCTTTTCAGCGCTCTAGAATCTGTTGAACCAATCAGTACCTTATGTTAAATCCTCTCTGTTGAAGTACCTAGTCTGGTTTCTCTTTTCCCATCAACTCTGTTGGATGGACTCAGTGACAGATGATTGGACAGATGGGTAGGTGGAGATACATTAGTGATTCATAGGTTCATTCAACAAACATTTGTGAGCACCTTCTATATGCTACGGACTCTTCTGGGCCCTGGGGATATAACATACAAGTCAGTATCATATCCAAGGTCTCTGCTCTCACGAAGCTCACATTTTAGTGGCAGAGGACAGACAACTAAAAAATAAATAAGAAAATGTAGTGATGAATACTGTGATGAAATTGAAATAGTGATAAGGAGCCTCTTTAGATTGAGTGAGTGGTCAAGGACGGTCTCTCTAAGAAGGTGGCATTCAAATTGAGATCTGAGTGGTGAGAAGTAGGCCATAAAGAGTCTGGAGGAAGAGGATTCTGGCAGAGAACAGCCAATGCCAAGCCTAGGGTAGAAGTGACTTTGTTCTGTTTAAGGAACAGCAAGGAGCCAGTGGGGCTGGTGGAGGAGAAGTAGGCGGAAGTCAGATCACACACAGGGCTGTATGAGCCCAAGAACATGCCATACGAGAACCCACTGGGAGGCTTTGAGGAGGCTAATGCAAGATGTAATTTGTGTTTTCAAAAGGCCATCCTGGCAGTTAAAAATGGGTTAAGTGGGGCAAACATTGGGGCAGAGAGATGTGTTGGGAGGCTACTACAGTGTCCAGGAGAGCAACAATGGTTGCTTAGGCTGGGATGATGGGAAAAAGGCAGTGGACATGGAGAGAAGCAAACAGATTTCAGGACCAATGATTAGATGTTTGGATGGACAGGTGGGTGGGTAAGTAAAATGCTTCCTGGTCCCAGACAGGGTTTTTCTTTGAGACCCTAAATGCTCCCGATGTTTGGCTTCACCACACATTACCATCATCCTGATGTCAGGGAAGGGTGAAGAGTGACCCAGAAACTATTGGCAGGAGCCAGATTTGGATCCTGGGATCATGGACCCTGAAATCTGAGCTCTTTCCGGCATGCCTGTGACTTCAGAGAAACTGGCCTGGAGGCCTGAGCTGGGTGTCACTTCCTCTTCCTGGAAGTCACTGTGGTCCCAGCGTGAGCCACGGTGGTGCTCTTGAGCCTCCAGTACTGCAGGAAGGCTATGGGCCAGAAGGATGTGAAGATGCTCAAGAACACAGCCCCCAGATGGTCAAAGAGTAGCCCAGCTTCAAGGCTGGGAGACAGGGGACACACAGCCAGGCCAGGTGCTGGGTCCCTAACACCTCCCATTCCCTTGTGCTCTTTAGCTCACCTTGGCCATGGGGCAGGCTGTGCAAATATTCCATGTGGCACAGGTATTGCAGAGTGGGCACGTGAGGAAGGCATCCCCCACCAGCACAGGCTTCCTCCCCATGAACGAAACGTGCCCATCTTGGCCTGCTGGGAGGGACTGTCCTCAGCCAGCCCACCAGCCCATCTCCCCACCCTACCCCCACAGCCGCTCATGCTCGTGGGGGTGGGCTGTGTAGGTCCCAGCTGTTGTTCTTACCCAGGGAGATGGCGGAGGGAATCGTCCACCTCTCCATTTGGGGTGAATGGGGATGACAGGCTGGAGCAGTCAGTGCTGACTAGACAACCAGGCAGTCCTGCCATGGGGAGGATCCGGGCTATTTCTCCAGAGCAACCTCTGACTCTTGGCAGAGCTGGTGCTCAAGAAGAACGCAGAAGTTTCCTTTCTGGGGCTGGGATGTGCGGTAGCTGGTGCTGACAACACAGGGACTGCAGTGAGAGGGTCACATTCAGGCCCAGAGGCCACCTTCACAGGGCCCCACTCCCATGCTTTGCTGCGGCCCTACTGGGGTAAGGCCTCCTGGAGCAGGAACAGAGGGAGGGGCTGAAGGCGGCTGCCTGGAAGTAGAGCTAAAGGCTGCCCTGGGGAGGTCTGCGGCCCAGGAGTGGAAGCCCACCTACTGGCTGGGGACCTGGTTAGGGACATTCCTTCTCTGGGGTGTGGGATAAGCTTGGATCTCAGCTCTGGGGGTGAAAAGGGGCTGAAATCAGTCTTTCAGGCCCTGCATGGATTGACATCCTTGGCAGTGCCCTGGGTAGACAGACGTGGCCAGTGCCATGGATTGTATGCTCAGGAGCATGAGCCAGGATGGGTAAGTATGGCGGGGTGGAGGTGGTTTAGCACAGGTGCAGGTGCGGGAGCACATGATCACGGATGTGTGAGGTGGGTGGAGCTGCCAGGGCCACCTTCCCCACAGGGAGCTCCGAGGGTCAGCTGGCTTCGGGGGTCACTGTGCCTGGGCTCCCAGGATCCTTCCAGCTGGGTCAGACTCACGCCAGGCCTCAGCCCAGGGGTCTCATCAGGGAGTGTCAGAAAGCCTAAAGCTCTGCAGGTGGGCACCCACCCCCCACCTCTAGCCGGCCTTCACCAGTGTCCCTGGCTGACAGGGCAGGGTGCAGATGGGCAAGGTCACTCACCTTTCTGCCCCATCCTTGCTGGCTTCCCACAGGGTGGAGCTGCCCAACAGGCCAACTCACTCCTTGACCCAACCTAGTCCAGCTCCTGACCCTGCTCAGTGGAGCTTTCAGAGGCTGGCAGGACCCCATTGCCATCTTAAGCCTAGCCTGACAGCTTCATACAGAGGAAAGCCCCCCTAGACACACAGGTGAACTACATTTCCCAGCCTCCATGTGACGGTGGGATGTGGGCGGAAGGGAGGCACACCTCCCCAGGCCAGGTCCACAGAAAACTCCTGGGTGACCCTCCACTTGCACTCATTCCATCAGTTCACTGGCTTCTGAGGCCACAGGCAAACTGGGAAGCCAGGTGTGTGTGTGCTGATCTCAGAGCCCGGGGCTCTGAATGAGACTTCCACCTTCACCGGCACCACCGAGTGCACGGAGCAGAGCCCCCCATCCACTTTCACCTCTACCACCTGAGGAGAAACACGTGAGAAAAACACTTCTGTGGGCTTCAGCGATCTCAGGGTTTATCTGGTACAGCAGATGGTGTTCAACTAATCTAGGCTCTTACTTGAAGTCACTTGAGGTCCAAGGTCCAGCTGAGGCACCCCCTCATCCCAGTCACCCTCCCTGGCAGAAGGGGGAACACAGCAGGAGGTTGGGGGGGACATTGGAGATCTGGGGCCCTGCCCATACAGCTCCTCAATTCCAGAGCTTGGACCCACAGGGAGGAGGCCAGAGGGCAGCCAGATGCCCTCAGACCGCTGCCCTACAGAGCCCTGGGCACCCCCCGTCACAGCCACGTATTCTGCAGGGGAAGTGCTGCAGGTGCAGGAGCCTTCTCAGGCCACCATCCTCCCTGACCAGGCCCCTCTGGCCATCCTTAGGACCAGATCAATACTCCTGCCCCAGCCTCAGGCCCTGGGTCCTGCCCTCTGCCCTGGGTCACCTGAGGGTCAGAGGAGGGGTCACAGGTGCCCACTCATGAAGCTACCACCCCTCAGCTGGGGGTGTTCTCTGAGGGCATGGGGAGCAGTCCAGCTGCCACCTGGTCCTGGTGCCACAGCTGTTCTGCCAGGCCATTGAGCACATGGGCGATGTCAGCCAGCCCAGCCCGCCCATCCAGGGTGCGTCCATCTGCCAGCCGCCGCCCTGGCACACTCTTCACCCGGAGGAGGGGCAGCGCCCAGGCCTGCCGGAATGCTGTGAGGTCACGCTCTGGTACATCTGTGTGCATGTACTGGTCAAATCTGGAGGAAGATCAAGGAGCCTGGCCAGGTGCCTTGCTTCAAGTCCCATCAAACCGAGGCTTCTCCCTCCTCCCTGGAGACCCACACCCAGGGTCTGGGGGAGGCCCCGCTGCAGCCTCTAGGATAAAGCCCCTGGGGCAGGACCCCCCGGCTAGGCAGAGGCAGGGTCCCTGAGCTCCTGGCTCTGTGCCTTGCCAAGGGTGGCCTCTAGGACTGCCAAAGGCCACCCAAAGGATACTTGGAGCCGATGACCATCCTGACGACACCAGGAGCCTCGCCTGCTACATGGGCCAGCTGTCCAGGGAGGTCTTCAAAGGAGGCACGGTCAGTGAAGGAGAAGAGGAAGAGGAAAGCATCTGTTTTCTCCTTGCAAGCCTGGGGACAGAGCGGCTAATGTGAAGCTCACAGTCACGGAACCAGAACCTCCTATCAGCTGCAGGGCCCTGAGAGATCTCAGCACAACCCCTCCTTTCACAGACTGGGAAATTGAGGCCCAGAGCAGGGAATGGCTGGTCCCAGGACAGAGCTTGGGCTGTGGCTTGGTCCCCAGTGTGAGCTCAGAGCTCTCCCACCCTCAGTCCATTCATGCTCAATTCTGACTCTTGCCGACCAGCTGGACCGGGCTCGGACACCTGTACCCAGAAGCCCACCTCAATGACCAGCTCCTCCCGGACCCACCCAGGCCCACCTGATCGCTCACCGGCAGCATGTGATCGAACTTTTTGAGCGCAGATTCCCCGCAGTCCCAGAACTCAAAACGGAACATGACGACGCGGTTGCTGGCTTGCAGCTTAGCAGGCCAAAATACCACAGTGGTCTGGATGCCTGGGGAGGCCAGGGTCAGCTGCTCATCACGGAAGAGGTGGAGGTGGAAAGGGGTAGGGGTCCAAGAAGAAATAGCAAGGAGAGATCCGTCCCCGCCCTGCTGGGTCCCCAGTCTGACAGGGAAGACAGAAGCCCTGACCTGGGAGGATTCTCCATCTGAGGGAGACCAACCTGCCCTGGGGAGCCCCCGGTCCACCAGGGAGCTGCAGCCCTGGCCCTAGCTGTGACCCGGCATTTTCACTGTGTACATAGGGGGTCCCAAAGGCACTGGACACTGGAGGGTGATGGTCAGTCAGCACCCAATGGAAAAAAACAAGAAAGGAAGACTATGTTCCCTGAGCACCTACCTTGTGCCAGCTCAGTGCCACACACGTCAACTCCACTATCTCTAGTACCAATGGCACAACAACCCTGTGGGCTTAGTACTATTATCCTGGTTGGACAAAAAGACCAATATAGGCCCAGAGAGGCAAAGTGACTTGCCAAGGTTGCACAGTAAATGGTGGGGCTGGTTACAGATCCACTTGTATGGTCCAGGGCTCTGAGCCTTCCCTCCACCCCAGGGAAGGTCTCCAAGGACGGACTCACCAGTGGTCTCATGGTGCACGATGGGCACCTCCAAGCCAGCCAACTTGGCCACCAGCGCCGTCTTGCCCACGCCACTCTTCCCAGACACGAAGATCTTGTAGCTGGCAGTGTCAATGGCCACAGGTGGGGGTAGCACTGGTCGCTCAAGCAGCCCTGGGGCAAGCAGGGAGCCTGGTGGGGCCCGAGGCTCACCCCGTTCTTTCCCCATCAGACCCTGGGCAGCCTCATGTCTAGGCGCCTTTCCAGGGCCCACCGTCCATGGTTCTCTTATTGCAGAGGCGTGAGGCACAGCAGGATCCCCAGGGAGAAGCTCTGCTGAGAATACTCGTGTTCTATGAGCTGGGCCAAGGCCTACTCCAAATTTGAAGACCACATTTTTTTTTTAAGTTTGATGCATGAGATAGTTTTTATTGATATTATCATCACATGTTCTAGATTTTGTACATGTCAAGGCAAAGTTTTTCATAATTCTTTCCTCAGTGGAAAAATATCAGAATAAAAGTATTCTCAATTATGATAAACTCGTTGGAATCAAAATATTGAGATCTTCATGGATGCTTTTAATTTGAAAAAAAAAACCCAACAATTTAAATTGTGATACATCTATAGGCTTAGGACCGGCAATCCTAAATTGTGGAATTGTGGGTTGTTCTCCTGTTCGCTGGTTTTCACTCTTCTTGTACTTTGTCTCTCTGCCAGAGCTGAACTCCCAAAGCCAATGCCAGGCCCCTCTAATGGTCTGTCAGCTTGGCCCTCCCCGGGTGAGGTGGCTTCATCCTGGGGAACATGAGGGTCTTATCTTGGAGACGGCAGAATATGGAAGAGGCTTGCCCCCACTTATTTATGACAGTGGATCTTGGACACGTCTGGAGGATGTGCCACTGAGGTTAAGTGGCAGCCCCGTTTTGTAAAGTGCCCAGCAGAGGGCCTGGCCCAGAAGGAGGTTTCCGTCAGCAGCCTCTCTGGCGACAGCGGCTCCTGGCAGGGTTTTGACGTTTCCGTGTTCCTGGCTCTGATGATGGAATTACCATTAAGGAGATTTGGGGGTGGGTGCTCTGGGAAAGAGGCTTCCAGGGGTCTCCGAAGCCCAGGAGTGCAGGGGAGGAGGTCCTCACCATCCAGCTCCCTTCCTCTCTGCTCCCCCCAGGGAGCGACAGGTGACAGGCTTGGGATGGAGGCACTTACCAAACACCCTCCGGCGGTTCTTGCGCAGGATGCAGGCCAGGTACTCCTTGCCCTCGGTGCTCTCGTGCCAGTCTGGGACGATCACGGAGCCAGGGGCAGGTGATCTGGCCATGGGTGGGCACCCTGCCTGGGTACGGAGGTGGCGGAGTGCTGAAAGCAGGGGATGAGAGAGGGGAACTGTCCTGAGCTGGGCCCGGGGTCGTGGTCCCTCTTAACTTGCCCTCTTACTCCCCCGTGGGGCCCCACCTTCCTATTTTTCCGAGTAGTACTTTTGGAGTCCAAGCTCCCTTTCGCTGCCCACACACCTCGTCTCGCTCTTATTACCCAGGAGGTGTAATTCCATAGTCGTACCCCCCCCCACCCGGATTACTCCCTGGGGGGCAGCCATCCCATTACTGCCCCGAGGGCATCGACGCAACCCCCCCCTTGCCCTTGTCTACACTGCCCTGATTCTCTACCTCCTAGACGCCCGTCACCCGGGGCCACCCGGCCGTCACCACGAGCAGTCCCCGCCGGCGAACCGCCCAGGTTGAGACGTTCCCCTTGGAAGCCCACGGGCGCCCCCGCCGCCCCGCCTGCCGGGGCTGCTTCCGCCCGGCCCGCTTCCGCCCGGCCCGCTTCCGCCCGGCCCGCTTCCGCCCGGCCCGCTGTCTGCTTCCGAGTGCGAGGCCGGCCCACGCAGGCGTAGGGCGCATGTGCGGAGGCCGTTGCCAGGGAGACGCCGGGGGCGGAGCTGGGCTGCCCGACTTGGGGTGGGCCAGGCCCAACGTCCGCAGCTCGCGCGGCGCGGTGACACCCTGCGCGGGACCTTCCCCTCTGGGCCAGGGCTCAGTCCGGTCCGCCTTTACTCCAAAACTTGATCAAGTCCCCTCCTCCAGGAGCCTGACCCGCTGTGTGACGTGATCTCAGATGATCACGTTGTCTCTGAGATTCTTCATCTGCCAAAGAAAAGAGGAATAAATATTTCCTATACAGTTTTGTTTCTAGAATTAAATGAGGTAATCTCTGTGAAGCCCCCGCTGTCCTGCACTTAGCTGGCCTGAGTAAATGTTAACCCCTAGATTATTCCTTACAAAACTGATTTGCCTCTCTGTGCGGCAGTTTCCTCTTCTATAAAGTAGAGGTAAAATACTCTGTTTCCTCCAAGGGTTCTTTACCACATTGCTGGTAGTATTCTTGCTCTATTAATCGACCTGAAGTCCTCTGGCTTCACAGATGGGGAAACAGCAGCTCAGAAAGATCAAGGGACTTTTTCAAGGTCTTAAAAATAAGTCAGAGACCCACTGGATTGTACCTTCCAGTCACTCGTTTATTAATCGACTCATCCCATTCATTCAACAAATAATTACTGAGCACCTACTATGTGCTCAGCCCTTCTTGATGCTGAGAATACACTGAATAACAAGAAGTTCCTACCCTCCTGGAGCTGACATTTCAGCGCTGAGGCTATGAGGCCCTCTCCACTGTTCCAACACTGGACACCTGGCCTGTTACCCAGAAGGTGGGTGCTTAGTAAATACCCATTAGATGACAGGATGCAGGAAGGACATTATTAAAAGATTGTCTATTTCACTTTTTAATGCTAACTTCTTGCAGTGCCTTCACACCGCAAATCACAGTAGGGCAAATTCATTTACTAAAGGCCATCTAAGTGCTGGACAGTGCGGGCTTTACATCAGTTACCTCATTTGATTCTATAAACAAACCTGTATAGGAAATATTCTTCTTCTTCTTTTCTTTGGCAGATGAGGAAACTCAGAGACAACGTGATCATCCCAGGACACAGCTGGTCAGTGGGAAAAGCTAGGTGCAGAAGCCAGGGTTCCTGGACTCTGAAGTACATCTCTATTCTGCCAGATCGTCAGGGCTTGTGTTTTGAAATCCTTGCTCACGGCCACTAGGAAGCTATTCCCAGTAGAGATGAAAGCAGCCAGAGGGCCACAAACCCACAAATCATTGAGGCCCATTATGTCCAAGGCAGTAGAGAGAATGAGGATGTCAAAAGCGCTTGCCCTCCACTCGATTCCATTGCAGCGAGGCAGAAACACATGAATAACCATTCCTACAGGATTCTGCAGTTTGAAACCATTGCCCATACTCCCTGGTCACTCAGTTCCCCTTCCTGCGGCTCTTACTGCATTTGTCCAGAGTCAGGATTATTTACACTGTGTGGAGCTTTCTCCGTGGACCAGGAGGCTTGAGTGGCAGGGTTCAGCTTTGACTTATCCCTGGGTTTCCGGACTTCATATCCACCTCTGCCCTGCTTGGTCTGTGGAGGGCTAAGGGAGAGTGTGAGGAAATGAAGCAACTGGGCAGAATGAGCTTCCCAGGTAACCTGGCAGCCAGACAAGATGTGAAACCCTCCCCAGCACAGAGTGGAAGCTGCCGAGCGAAGCAGCTAGTGGTCAGAGGACTAGGAGAGTCAGTCTTCTCTGCCCTCAGGAGCTCATGGAGAGGACACTTCAGGGAGCATCAGGAGCCTGTTCAGAACATGGATTCCTGGGGCCTGTTCCCCCGAGATTGTGGTTCTAGGGATCAGATGGGTCTGTGAACCTGCACATTTAACAAGAGCACTGGCCAGTTTCAGAAAATGGGTTCTGGATCAGTCTGCTTGTGTTACCATAACAATACCACAGACTGGGTGATTTAAACAACAGAAATCTATTTTCTCCCAGTTCTGGTGGCTGGAAGTTCAAAACCAAGGTGCCGGCAGGGTCGGTTTCTGGTGAGGACAGCTGTCTTCGGTGCCCTGTGTGGTCTTTTCCCTGCACACACACCCTTGGTGTCTCTTCCTCTTTTTATGAGAATACCAGTGACCTTGTCTTAGCACCCCATCCTTATGACCTCGTTTCACCTTGATTACCTCCTTAAACATCTTCCCTCCAAATTAAGTCACACTGAGGGTGAGCACCGTGACACATGGGTTTTGGCAGGCGGAGGGAGGAACACACAGTTCGGTCCGTAGAATGGTCCATAGACTGCACTTAGATCACCATTGCTGCCGAGGACAGGAAGCCGGCTACTGCATGGGGCCTGGCAGTGAGGTGGTCAGAACTGTGTTTCAGAGGACTACCTAAACAACCAGCTTCTCCTTTTAGGGCCTCAAGCGAAGCAGGTGAACCATCTACGTAAAGGCCCTTTTCATGTAGAACCTTCTGATTAATCCACTAATTATTCATGGTTTTGAAGTAGGGCAGAGACATGAGATAAGTATCATGATTAACTTTTCCTGCCTATGATGAAAAATGCCAAGATATAGACAGTATAGTAAGAACAGGAGAGACTCCCATCTTAAGGCTAAGATTCTATTTTAAAAACCAGGGAGTTAGAAGGTAAGATTCCTAACATATTCTTTGGTAATCAGACAATAACGCATCCTCTGTTAAGGCAGGGCAAGTAATCCTGACTCATATGTTTCCAGTGCTTGAGGGAAACCACTATCTTAGAGAAGAACCGGATCAACAAATTCCTTGTGTTAAGTTTATCTTACAGAATTATCTAGAGGACTGACTGTGGACAGTGACATGATGTCTCACCGGAGACATCATGAGACCACATGTCAACATGAGACCTACGCCCAACAACCCCCTCCCCCCACTGCAATGCCCCGTCTCCCTTTCTCCCATTCTTGAAATCCTTAAAAGACCGAATCCTAAGCCCTTAAGTGTGCCTTCTCTCTGAGGTTGCCCACCCTTCCTGAGGTTGTCCACACTCCCTGTTCTTTGAGTGTGTACTTTTTAAATAAAGCCTACTCACTGCTCAACTTACTGTGTTTTGTCTCTGCACTCTTCCAGTGGTGAGCGTCTTTGTTACTTTGTTATTTCATTCTATTTTCTAGACTTTAGCACAAGTCTTCTCTCTCTCTGTCCAGCTTCAGCTTCCTTGCTCTCTGCTGCCTGCAAGGAGCTGCCATTCCCTGCTGCTCTCACTTTAATGAATTCCTTCCTTATCTGCACTCTTCTGGTCTGCTTGAGAATTCTTTCTCTTTCAGAGTCAAGAACCCTCCCCCGTCTAGGTTGACGTTTCACCTGGTGCGCAGGGCGCGACCCCCCTCAGAAGCAGCTGCCTGGCAACAGTTTGGCCTTCTTTCAAATTGATCACCTTCCTTAAGGAGTAGATGGCCCAGTGCGCAGACTCACACAGGCTTGAGGACCTGGGGAGCAGGTTGCGTGGGACACCCGGGGAGGGTAAGAAGAGCAGAGACACAGTCAGATTTGTATTTCTCTCTCTTGCCTGGACACTTCAACCCTGCTTCGTGTGTGTGTGTGTGTGTGTGTGTGTGTGTGTGGACACTTCAAACCTGCTTTGTGTGTGTGTGCGCGCGCGCGCGCGCGCGCTCCCTGCTTGCATCCCAGAGGCACTGGAGTGGTTTTTAAAAATGTAAATCCAGTAAGTAATATCACACCATGCTTACAGATTTCCAATAGTTCCACTGCTCAGAATAAAACCCAGACTCCATGCCTTCAAGGCCTTCTGTGACCCGGCCCTGCCCACCTCCTGATTTCATTTCAACAGCTACCCGCTTCCCATTGCCTGCTGACTGCAGGGTCCCTGGCCTTTTTCTGTTACCACGTTTGGCTTCCGTGTCGCAGCTCCCACCGCCTAGAGCTCTCTGCACCATCTCCATTACCTTCGGTGGATGGCTGCTTCCCTTCACTGGTCTTGGGGTAAATATCACCTGCACAGACAGGCTTTCCCCTCCACCAACGGATTTGCCCGACTCCCAGGCTCACTCTTTCATATCATCCTGTTCTTGATTCCGAAATTATGCAGTTATTGTCTCTCTCACCAAGGGCATAAGCTCCTCAGGACAAGGCCTTGTCTTTTTGTTCTGTTATATCCTTGTTTTAGTTTCCTAGACCTGCAGGAACAAAGTACTATGGGCTGGGTGGCTTAAATAATAGAAATGTATTTTCCTAATTCTAGAGGTAAGAAATAGATCAAAGTATTGCCAGGGTTGGTTCTGAGGGCGCTGAGGGATCTGTTCCAGCCTCTCTTGGGCTTGTAGTGGCCATCTTCTCCCTGTATCTTCATGCTCCCTTCCCTCCATACAAATCCGAAGTCCACATGTTTGCTCTTCTTCTAAGGACGTCAATCAGTTAGACTAGGGCCCATCTTAATGACCTCGTTTTAACTTAATCACCTCAGTGAAGACCCTATCTCCCAATATGGTCACATTCTGAGGTGCTAGGGATTAGGACTTCAACATACGCAATTTTTTCCATGGTAGGAGGAGATACAACTCAGCTTGTAATAATCCTTACTTCTTAGAATGTGTCTGACGTGTAGTAAAAAGTCAGTACAGATGTGTTGGCTGGCTGGTTGACTGTGACTGCAGCTTGGAGAATGGCCTGAAGAGGGTGAATCTGGAAGGGGGACGAGTTGGGAAGCAGGGCAAACCTTCGGGCATGAGTGGATGAGGACATGTTTGTCAAACAGGGATGCGCACTCCCTGTGCCAGGCCGGACACTGGGAAGACCATAGTGAAAGGGATGCAGACCGTGTGTAGTGCACACTCTGGTGGGGACTAAAATCACGTAACTAGGCAACTGCTCTTATACACAGGCAATTGGGTAGAGGCGAGGGGCAGATTAAAGA